AGCCACGAAACGCAACAAGGCCAAGATTCGGTTGCAGTTCCTGGGTGTGAGAGTGAAGGACCCCGGCACGGAAGTTCTTGGATCAGCAGGTTCGAACATGTTGGTATCAGTTCGGGACCAGATCACGGAGATCCAGAACAACGACCATTGCCGGCATGGCCAGAGGTACCTGAACCTATGCAACGGCTGGGTGAAGCCATGGGCAGTTCGGGCTACGAGTGGTCACTCTGCGCATTCAGACCCCCAGAACAACTTGCTTCAGTTGGACAAGAACAGGTTCGCAATATCTCCATCTATGACCCTCTTGCAACGTCTTGGAGGTGCGTTCCACGCTACGGCATGCCGCAACTTGGATTCCATTGTCACGCAAGGCATCATGCCTGGTTCGGAGGACCCCGACGGGGACTTCGACCATAGGCGCCAATTCCGAGGCAATCAAGGCGGCAGACTCCACAGCTATTGGGGGGTGTTTGCGCCGTTCGATCACCGGAACGCAACGACCAAGATGCGAGTACACGGACGAGACGCCAAGCATATGCCATTGGCGGTCCTTCATGTCCCATCGCAAGATCTTGCACGAGAAGATGGACGTATCACAGACAGCGGCATCATGATCGTTGGTCGAACGATACCTTTCCATTTCGTCAAGGAGGTATGGTTTTGCGTCCCTGATCCTCGAGATACACACTCTTTCGCTCTGGTGGAAAAGATCTACGATGAAAGGTTGGAGAAAGAGCTGGTGTTGGACTACAATGCATCACCGTTGCTTCCCGAGTTCGAGAGATACCGAACGCCAAGCAAGATCATGGAATTGCTTTGCGAGATGCCTCCTGGACCCCACGACACAAGCAAGGAGCAGATCATTCGTGACCTCACGACTGTCCTGGAGTCCCACAGGGAGAACACGGTTCGGCATCACTACATGGACAAAGGAATCAAGTTTGTCATCAAGAATTGGCGACCCGAAGACCTACGCAGAGACGAGGATGGACGGAGAATGAGGGTATGCCCGGCATGCTACAACATCGTTCCAGCATGTTTCTCCCGATGCACGTCTTGCTGGTCACAGTTCATTTCGAGCGGATATTACCAAGGTTCTCCACAACGGGAGACTCCTACGGAGATCCCCAGTGACTTCATTGCTCAGACAATGGAAGCCGCAGCAGCCGCAGTGCCTGAGGCGCCCGAAGAGGAGCAGGAAGCCATGGAGGTAGAGACCGTTGCGGAACCTGAAGAAATCCCAGAACCATCTGTCATCGCGGAAGACGATCCAGAACAGGAACCTGATGAAGAAATGGACATCGAGCCTGGAGAGGACTTTGATGACGCAGTTCCAGAAGCAATCGCACAGGAACGTCGTCCCGTCTTCATTACCGGCCAGTCTTTGAACATCGATCCTGAGCTACAACTTGCACGTACCGCCATGCAGCCATCCTACTATTCTGGAAAGCGAAATGCCCATTGCATTGACGCGAACATGACCGCTCTTTCGTACATGGCATACGTGGTATGCAGATCCATCTACAAGGCTTGGTCAGGATTCGCAAAGTGGGCGACTATGCCGTTGTTTCAGATGAGGGAAAGTTTCGCACTTGGCCAACGCTATGATGTGCTTGGAAAGTGGGGATCTTTGGCGGCAGTGGATAGGGAAACGGGTGTGAGCAGGGACGTGACTGATGAGGAGATCATTCGCTTTGCAAAGGAACCTGAGAACCTCAAACAGTATGATCCCAACGGGACTTACACCTTGAAGCGCTTCCGGACGAACCAGATGCTCTCTTTACTTGTACGGGGAGCCAACATGATGGGAATTGGCAGGGACAACTTCAACCCTACTACTTACTTGAAGAGCGACAGGGATGAAGATGTAAAGGCTATGCACTTTTGTTGCCTGAACGTCCTGTGCGAGGTGATCCAATGGTGACGGGACACCAACAATTCTCAGTGCTACGACCAACGCCAACTGGACCAGTGGACTTCTTGTACATCGACCCCGTCGGTATTCTGCTGACTCATTCTGATCAGTCAGTCCAGACCATCGGCTTGCTGGTGGACCACAGTGTGCAAATGCCTGCGCATTTCATGGACAGATTGAACAGATCCAAGGCTGAGAGACAGCAAAACCCGACGACCAAGCGTACGGAAGCCCTACACCACATTTCGGCCGCTGACTATCTTCCTCCAGGTGGTACTTCCATCCTGGACACGCCTGTCACTACGGAGGAACGTGAAAGCGCTTCTTCATCCAAGGGACCTTCAAAAGGGCGTGGAAGAACCGGAGGCGAGCAACATGGTGGCTGGAACACCAATTCCTACCACGACTACATCGCCGCCAAAGGCCGAAACAAAGGCAAGGACAAGGGAAAGCCAAGGAACCAGTATCCAGAGGAGAACCTCCGGCCCTGGGACCGCGATCCTACGTCAACGCGAAGATGGTGGCGAGACAACGCCTGATCTTCCTCGCCTATCAGTTCGTGACCTCTGAGCTTCGCTCGTGGAATGCCATCGCGAATGCTTCTTTCTTCGGTGACGCCTGATTCGTTTGTCATTTCAGGGGATCGTTACTGACGTAGATGAGTGTCACAACGTTTCTAATTGGGATGCAAAGCTCTGATTTTCAAAGTCAACGTTGCGGCGGAATTTTCTTCTGTCCTATCGTGCCATCTTCCGGGTGAGCAGCGTCGGAGACGCAACTCATGGGGGGTGCGAACGGACTGCGATGCCTTGTCATGTTCTAAGGTGTCACTATAAGAGCTGTGAGCAAGACCGTGTAAAGTGCAAGAGAAGGGGGCACGCTACGCGTCCCTCGACTCTAGGGGGCATGCTACGCATCCCTCATCTTTACCTTTCTATGTGACCGCCAACGCAACGTTTGGCTCAAGTCAATGCCCATAGCTAAGTGCTATATGTGTCTTCTATCCTGAGCAATCAGAGCTATCCCGTTGCACAGACGAACCGCCGCCGGCAGTGAGTGCAAAAGGAACGGCCGCCGGTTCTGCCTGCATAGGATCGCACGTGTGGAAGTAAGAGGGAGAGACAGGGTCCAGTCTGTGGAGAGTGCTAGCCAGCCACACCTACATTCATTACAGCTCTGGTGGGGAGAGCAGCAACCAAGTCGAGATCAATCCCCCACGCACATGATAACGTCCGGTTTGTCTGTCAACATCTCTTTTTAGGGTTTAGGGTTTGCCTACATTGCGCTGTGCAAAAAGAACGTGGCCAAAAAACGACCTTGCGTCCCGAGCACTGCTGCCTGCCTCGAAGTCTCCGAAGTGTTGCGCTGGCCACGTATTATGAGGTTCCGGCTGCCGCGGCAGAGACCAACGTGCGCGAAAAATTGCAATTTTTGCTGATATCATCTTCTGCCGTCAGACTCTTCGAACCCTCAAAAGTACTGCTCCTGCCACGTATTTTTGCACTTGTCGTTGTGCTCCACGGCGTTAACATAGCCAAAAAGGGCTGCACGGCGTGCGCACTGCTGGCTGCCTGGAAGTCTCAACAATATTGCACTGGCCACGTATTATAAGGTTTCGGCTGCCACAGCAAACACCAATCTGCGCGAAGAATTTGGATTTTTTTTGCGGAAATCGCTTCCTGCCATCACAACCCTCAAACCCTCGAAAGTACTGCGCCGGCCACGTATTTTGCACTTCGCTGCCTATGTAACGAAAGCTCCTCGGGGCAAACTTAGGGCTACGCCGGTACCACTACTACCACAACAGCTACTACTACTACTACTACTACTACTACTACTACTACTACTACTACTACTACTACTACTACTACTACTACTACTACTACTACTACTACTACTACTACTACTACTACTACTACTACTACTACTACTACTACTACTACTACTACTACTACTACTACTACTACTACTACTACTACTACTACTACTACTACTACTACTACTACTACTACTACTACTACTACTACTACTACTACTACTACTACTACTACTACTACTACTACTACTACTACTACTACTACTACTACTACTACTACTACTACTACTACTACTACTACTACTACTACTACTACTACTACAACTACTACCACTACCACTATACTACCCCTAAATACCACTACCATACTACCACTGTTAGGTGATCATGTTTTGATGGTGCGATTTTCTGCATGTTTTTGGAAAGGGGTTGGAGGCGAAGGGATGGGGGAGGGGCTCCGGAGTGAGGGCGAGGGTGCGGGGAACTAGTTTGTGATTCATCCGCTGGGTTTGCATTACTTGGCATTTGTGCCCATCCGTGATCGTCGAAAACGCCAAGTCTCACAGATCGTCGCTTCGGCCACAATGCAGATCAAGAACTTGGCATTGGCACTCGAGGATTTTTGTTTGCTTGAAGTGCTGGATCCCAACAAGTAGCACAAGACAGTAAGTTTCTGGAGCAACAGACTCAACTGCCCAGTGAAGTCTCTCATAGTCTCTCGCTAGACATAGCAGCCCGAAGCCTTCTGACACGTGCAAGCTGTGTGAAAGCTTTTCCAGCAGCTTGTGAGTCTTTGCAAGTAGCTGTTCATTCTTCTAGCCTTGAGCATCCTGGAGAGCCTTTTGAACATTCGTCGAATGCCGGTGTCCAACCTCCCGCTGATGCTAAGTCTGTTTGTGGCACTTCGTTTTTTGTTTACTTCAGTCCCGTCACAACAGGTAAGGTGTTTTATTTGTCTGCCTGCGTCCGTCGACTTGTGCTCTTGCTGGCCTGAGTCCCCTTCTACTAAATACTATTAACGTTACTAAAGGCTACAGGCGATGATTCGGCATGAAATGTTTGAGGCTTTTCTAGCAAGGTTCAGGAGGAGAAACTGCCTTCAAGGAAGTGTCGTGACTTTGATCAGCAGGGTCCATGCCTGGACGCCAAAGGCCAAAGTTGTGTGCTGGCCTTGAGCCGTGAGCTGTTCGTGTCTGCTGTCGCTCTTGCACGTATATGGCTGTTTTGTCTACTGTCTCAGGCTAGTCTTTCGTTCTCTCGGCTGGCCCGATGCCACCATCGCTGTACATCGCTGCGCTTTCTGCCGCTAAGGTCAATGAGACGGCCCAAGACCCTCCTAATGCAGACGACAAGGAGAGCACTGTCAATACCCAATCAGGGTCAGTCTGGCACCGATGCTGTTAGTGTGACATTCATCAAGACTGTACGTTAGCTGGTCCTGGTATGGACACTTCAAGCCATGCTAGAAGCAATCTGATTTTGCAAGTGGTGAGGAGAGCATCAATGGGCCCGTGAAGCTCGGCCAGGCGAGACCGCACAGTGCGAACACGTTGAACACGTTGTATGTTGCATGCAACACATCCACATCCACCCAATTCGGCCGTGCAGCTACGTCACCCCGGGGCGCTTCGCACACTGGGATGCAGACTGCCAGGAAGCATCCTGCATCAATCAGAATTTCTCCCAGATGGTTCTGGATCCGGACGACGCACTACCGCATTGACAGCTGGCGTTTTTTTGCTGCTGACAAAGGTAGAATGCAATCGGTGCATCGCTGAGGAGCCAGTTGAAGACATGGGTAACCCCAATCCATTCGAGGACGAGGACTTGCCAACGGCAGCCGCATGCTTAGCCGTGGATAACCATAGGCTGCCAGGCTGTTCTAGAACGTGCCAGTGGCGATGCATGTGTTGGGAGGATCACTAGACTACTTCAGGGCCCGCTGCCACTCGATTCCTCGGGTGTCCCCTTAAGATCCCTAAGACAGAGAGCAGGCCCGCAAGATCCTGTAAGACCCTGTTTCCAGATCTTCGAGCCAGCTCCTGTAGACCTGAACCTTCCGCGAAGGACAACGCTGGGTGCGTTGCCTCCGGGGCATACAGATATCGCAAAATCACTTTACCGGGCAATCCCAAGGCGCATCAGTGTGGTATGTTCCGTGGCTTTCGCACGAAGCCTTGCCGATCATGTGCATGTGTGGGGACAGAAGGCCACCGCCGACTTTGAGCAGAATCCAGTCAAGCTGGTTGTGCGTGCTGCCCTTAGAAGTGCAATCAGTGCACGGCACGTTCTTCCGGTTCGCTTGATTGCGTGCTTAAACTGTCGAAGGTACAGAGGTGAATTGCAAGCTGCCCAGCAGCAACGAACTGGTCTCTGTCAAGGCAAAGTCCCTGCTCTGTGACTCTGCGAGTGCTAGACCACGACAGACCGCGGGAGGCCATGCATGAGTACGAGCCGAAGCCAAACTACAATTGGCGAGCTCACCTCGTGGCTCAGCGTCAAATCGCTACATTTAGGGACTTCCTAACGTCGCGTAGTGGTCGGGTTTGTCACAACTCAGGAGTCTACGCGAGGACTGAAGTCACTTTGCCCCAATGGCTTTGTGGAACACGGCGTATTGAAAGCATTGCAGGAGCATGCCTTGCCACTGAACTGAAGAACAACGCTTTCAAGCTGGGGCGTTGGACAGCGCAGGCAGGGGTGCAACAGTCGGACACACCAAATCATCCTTTCCTCGTTCATCCCATGTCCACATCTGCGCAGGCAATCTTGGCAGGATGTGAGACAATCAAAATAGGATACGTGCCTGAAGCTCAGTGCATGGCAAAGCATTTGACATGCATTCCGATTGGACCTGATTAAATCAGGTCTCGTCAGCATCCGAAGGATCCATGGTCACACTCGCTGCTTGGGGTGCAGACCTATGCCACCAGTGGATTTGCAGAGCAGATCGGCTTGACACGAAACAACATGCTGCTCAGCAGAATTGGAGACTGCTGATGCGACATACTGCGCTGCACAGCAACTGGAGGCAAATGCCTAACACGAGACGTGAGTGCTTTACCGTTAGCTGGGAGGGTGGCCTCTGCAAGTTTCTGGGAGGGGCTCGGCGAACGGTCCATCTCCAACTGTCCGCATGCTGCGTCGCAGCCCTTGAGCTAGTTCCATGTTGGAGAGATCCAAAGCTTGAGGTTTGGCATCATTCGGAACATCATTGACCTGGTCATGAGCCGCTTGGAATAAGTGCAAGCTGCATGAGTCTTACCTTGGCTTTGCATGTCTTCTGAGGTTGGGAAGACGGCAAGTACCTGTTGCTGAAGGATTGTCTGGCGACACGTTCGTTTTACATCCGTGACGTTTGTCAGTTGTGGTGCTTGTATCAACAGTTGCAAACTCGCGGGATGTTGGTGCAGCATTTTGGCGTGTGATCCGAAGCGAACTGTCGTGATACAAGCATGTGAGTGTTTGCTCTCCTGCAGTCTTGAAATTCCAAGTCTTATGTCTGCCTAGCATGAGATTGACAAGTTGGACTGGTAATTTATTGTGGCTTATCTGACCTATCCTGTCAACAACTGAGAACTGAAGCTGGCCAGAAGATGGTACCTACCTGCTACCCCAGTACGCTGCATGCAGGACCCCACGAAGTCTGTTCTCCGCATCCACGAGGCTTGCACATGAGGTTTTTAATGGGGAATGGTCTCGACTCCGAGTGCAGGTTCCATGGGATACCTTCCAAGATGATGAGGAGGAGGACGATGCAAACGATGAAGAGGACCAGAGTTTCGCAATCGCCTGTCCTCGTTTTCCTCATGCGGGCATATGTCGCCGCCATGTCAGCGAGTTGCGAGGAAGAGCAAGAGCTCGATGAGGATGGAAACGTAGTTCCAAACCAGGCAAGCTAGGCCGGTGCCCTACATAGTAATCCGTCCTACACGCACTTTTTATTTGAGCTTCGTCTTGGACGATCAATCAGGGCACCTTGCCGTTTTCCTGAGCGTCGACTAGTACAGACGCAGCGCCGCCAAATTCACTTAATGTGTAGCTGAGCATTGCTGCGGAATAAACATCAGAAGCAATTAGTCGCTGTCTACGCAAAGCAGATGAAAACTCATACTGCCATCAAAATTGCGTCAGAGCCATGCTTCGTGCAGGGTCGCCGGTGACTAAGACTCAGGTACGCATGCCCATTGCGGTTCTGACTTTAAGAGTGCAGACAGCACCTTGACACGACGGACCGCTACGTGCTCAAAAAATGCTCTAAACACATAGATTGTTTGATTGTGACGAAGTTCATATCCCTTCTGATGGCGCAGAATCTTCTCACGAGCCAGTTCGACTGTTGCAGGTCGGCGATGAAGGGGCAGAACAGTTGGCTTCCGCGCTTGAGGGTTGGCACCCCGGCCAAGCTTAATCGACGTGGACCGTTTGAACATGTACTCAGGTTTTGCAGGGGAGAAGCTGCACACTCTTGATTTGGGCGTGGGCCCCGGGGTTTTCATTTGCTGTGTCTCGAAATCGCAATGCAGCAGTGCTTGAGCCAGAAAGCTGGGAGGGAAGCCACGCAGATATCACGATGCGCAATCCGTCGTGCAATGTCAGAAGGAGAAATCAGGTTGTACTCTCGGACTGGCCTGATCGAATTCTTGATGTGTCGCAAGAGGTGGCAACCGGATTTCGGATGATGGTGGTGTGCAGCTATGCAAGGCGTGGCATGTCAGAGAACGTATTAAAGGGGGAAAAGAAGGCATAAGCAACGGGCTTTGCTCAGTGGTGTCGATTAGAGCAGCTGCTGCTCATGGGCCATCAAGGGCTTTGGGACTACGAGTACATTTGGACGGGTGAGGCCGGAGGAGATGAGCCCACTCCGCTGCAAATTTCGTAACTCCTTCAAGCTTTTCTGGCTTAGGCCGCAGCCTAGCAGATTCCTCCCGAACACGATGATTGGCTCATTTGCATTCGCAGACCGAATGTAGCCGCGTACAGGTCCTCCAACGTCCGTGTTTCGGACAATGCTAGCCGCTACGTAGCCTTTGTTCCGCTTTTGTTGACGAACTCTAGCCAGCTTGATTCGGTTCCACACCGTTTCCTTTGTTGTTTCGAAATGCAGACGCCCTCGACGTTTTCGGCTTGGAGTGATGTCTCACAAGCAAACTCGTTGTGTGAGGCTGTTTCGCTGATGGGCCGCCTGCGTAAGCTAGACCTGAGCTCCAACAAGCTCGGGGATCGCGCGACTCCGCTGCAGTCTTATTGTATCTGTTTCATCCGTGTCCATGACAGGATTTTGCGAACATGTAGCGCCGAAAAGCATATGCGGAAGTCCGACGAAGGCTATATCGTTACATAGTCGGTTTCTACAAACGACGACGATTAATGCTTCTGCTGCTACTGGTTCTGTTACTGTTGCTGCTGTTGCTGCTTCTCCTGCCACCGCTACCGCTACTTCCTACTACTACTACTACTACTACTACTACTACTACTACTACTACTACTACTACTACTACTACTACTACTACTACTACTACTACTACTACTACTACTACTAACTACTACTACTACTACTACTACTACTACTACTACTACTACTACCTACTACTACTACTACTACTACTACTGCTACTGCTACTGCTACTGCTACTGCTACTGCTACTGCTACTGCTACTGCTACTGCTACTGCTACTGCTACTGCTACTGCTACCGCTACTACTACTGCTACTACTACTACTACTACTGCTACTTGTGCTTCTGCTACTTCTACAGCTGCAACTACAACTACAACCACAACAACAACATCTACTGCTTCTGCAACTACTACTACTACTACTACTACTACTACTACTACTACTACTACTACTACTACTACTACTACTACTACTACTACTACTACTACTACTACTACTACTACTAGGCATCACACATTTAATTGATCGCGGTGTTGTCGGGCTTGGTGATGTTTGCTCAAAGTAGCTTTTGTATTGTGTTTTACAGCACTTTCGCGTCATGGACCCTTTCATGCTGCGAAATCATGAGGGCCAGAACTCCGGGGTAACTACTTGTTGGATGACGCAGCAGGATGATAATTGATCGTGCGGTTCTTTTTTTGAATTGGAAGCTAATGTGACGTGCTGTAAAATACAGGATTTCATGCGTCCAGGTAGCTGTGGATTTGCTCGTGCGCGCGGTGACGGCAATGATACAGAAGCGCTGAAACTAGTTACTAGTTTTAGTGCTGTGGCGACGCGCATTTTGAGCTGAGTTTGTAGTTGTAGCAATTATATACATGACAGTATAGCTATTATATTACATTACATTGTTAGATGAAAGCTTAGAGAACATGATCTGAATATAACATTAGATCTCACGTGTTTCCGTGCATACGTACATACATACATACTTAAACACACACATGTCTCCTAATTATCGGTCTGGTGGGTAGGAATTAGGAGATCAGTTTCGCGATCGTTGGAACAGACTTGATCTATTTTCTCCGTGGCCATTTTGGCGATAGCCGATCGGGCCATACCGAAAAATCGGCGTGGGAGGTGGAAGTGAATAGGCTCGCTCGATCGCAGCCATGTCGTTCCCTCCCGCTGGCTTCCATCAAGGTCGGCAGATGGCGGCTCCGATGGCCCCACAGTTCGGGTTGCCTCGCCGGCTTGGTCAGCCTGAGAATCCGGGCAACTGGGGACACTACGTTCCAGGCGAGGCAGAGGCTCCCGAGACTCCCGCGGCTCCAGCTGCCGCATCCGGCGATTGGGGCTCTGGAGGCTGGGGTCGCGACGATCGTCGTGGACGTCGTGACCGCGGGGCTCCTGCTGCCCACAACCCCTTCGCTGTTCAGCGGCCTGAGTTCGTTCGCCAGGTCGTGGTCGAGGAAGAGGACGAGACCCAGAACTCGCTCCTCGTCATCGACAACCGCGACGACCGGGTGATCTCCCCGTTCCAGAACTGGCTGGCCGAGGAGATCATCTCGAATGCCGCCAGCTCGATCAATGTGCTGACGGAGCGGGACTCGGTCATGCCCCCGAACTCGGGCTACCACTGTTCGCTGTTCGCGAACTATACGCTCGATGGCATCAAGGCCGTTCTGCTCTTTTCGATGTCTTCGAAAACAGGGGGACCATGTGCTCAGTGGGACTCCTACGCGAGTCGGGCGCTATCGCACCCGGCTTTCCAGCCCTTCACTTGGCCGGTGATGTTCGACACCTCGGCCACCTATGTGGATGTGAAGGTCTTCAATGGAAACGAGGTCCTATTCCATTGGGTCTTCAGGGGCTACCGCTCGGACTCGGATCTTTCTGTCCAGCAGCAGTTCTGCGACGAGGTGTTGATCCGGTCAGCCAACGAAGGATGGTTCCGACCCTCGATCGTCATCTCGGTCTTCGTTGGATGGAAGGTCTCCGTGACCTCGTTCGAGGTTGGAGCCCGAGTCTACACGATCGGCCCGAGAGGAGCAGTGATGGCGAGCGACCATGCCATGAGCACCTGTGAGCTCAGGGTGACGGAACGCTCGTCCCGAGAAGGCTATGGGAACGACGCCGATCGTGTTGAGTTTCGGTTCCGGGACGCCAACAACCGGATCGATCTCAAGTGCGGGAGGACTTCGGTGCCTGGCACGTGGCTCACAGTCAGCCACATCTCGGGCCCCGCTCTGATCAGCACGATCCAGGCCTGTCGGACCCAGCGTGCTCGCGTGGAAGGTCCAGACCACATCCAGCAGTTCGCGCAGCTGTCTGCGGTGATCGCCCCCTGGTACCACAGTGCGTTCGCCCACGAACAGGTGCAAGTGGGAACTGCGACAGACGAGTTCCCGATGGATCATGGGAACTTCCACGTACGGGCTAGATCTAAGCTCAGGGTCTGCCCACTGGAGTTCGTCCGGCAGGAGGCGCTCGCCCACCGGTCGCACGATGAGAACAACGCCGTTCGAGCTCGGAACGGCCCCCCGGCTCTCATGGAAGAGGCGGCTCGGCAGGCGGTTCAGCAGCTGGGCTCCTCGGTCACTTCGGCGCTCACCAACATGCCCACCTCGGCTCAGCAGGTGTTGGACCAGAGGGTGAGCACTGTTCCGGTGCCGGAGGAGGGCCAGCTCGGCCAGGAGCAGATCGCCGAGGAGGTCGTCACCGATGCCCGCGATCGCATGAGGGCCGACATGCGATTCTCGCGCACGTCGGCTGCGATCACGCCTCAGGTCTTCACGAGCAGGGGGAGTACGAGCGGATCAGCACGGTCAGGGTGGAGGAGACGGGCCAAGAGATCACGGCTTCCCCCTCCACTACGACCACGGTGCCGAAGGCGTTCGCCCCGGCCTACCCGCCGGCCAGATCGTCAACGGGGCCCTACACGATGGACAATACAGACTAGTTGTCGATCGAAGCCTAGGTGATGGTCGGTTTTTGTGCACGCTCCTAAGAGAGTGGTGCGCCGCGCGACCGAAGCCTCCTGGCGGATCAGCCGGGCTCTTCCGCGGAACAAACATGCCGAGCGATCCTCTCGGCGCGCTAGATCCCAGCGCATGTTCTGCCGGAAGTGAGATTGATCAATACCTGTCTCAGGCACGGCGCTCGGTTACCATTAGCAGGCACGTGCGATCGTTCGTGCAGCTGTTCAGGCCCAGCATGGATAGGTCCGTTCGGAAGATCCTATCCCTCCCCCTGTTCGGGGATGAATTTTGCCAATGGTTGGTGGATCTTCGGATGGCTCAGTTCGAGAAGCTCACGGCTGTTTCGGACGGGACGATCGCTGAGTGTGTGCAAGCATTCATTGATCTTGTCCCTGCCCTCGAGGAACTCCACACGCCAGATCGGCGGAAGAACGAGGAGGAGCTCGGCAGGTGGGTTCCGTCGATCGAGCTGTTGTTTGTGCTGGTTCGTAGCACGGCAGCAGCGGGCTGGGCTGATCTGGCCACTGATCTGGGATTCGGCTTGGCTGAAGCTCCGGTCGTCTTCGGGCGATCGCCACTGAAGTCGAAGGGGACTGGCAAGGAGCCTCCTATGCCATTGCCGCTCGCCAAGAGGCCGCGGGCGATCGAGCCGAGGCCTGAAGATCCGCAGGCATCGCTCAAAACCCGTGAGCTCGGCGAGGCCCGAAAGTGGGGCATGAGGCTGAAAGCGATCGTGGAGAGGTGCGGCGAGCACGCCGCGATCGCGGGCAACCCGAAGCCGGGATCACCCCTGTCCCAAGATGAGATGAATGCATTGAGGTTGATCGTCTTCGAGAGTGGCGGTTTCCGCACTATCCAGCAGTGCGTTCGTCACTGGGAGAGGATTGAGACTTGGGCGAGGTCGCAGAACCTAGCGGTGATCCCGCTGACTACCGACGTGCTCGTCAAGTACCTCTTAGATCTCTCCGACCGAGGTTGCGGCCCCACCGTGATACCTTCGGTACGTGGGGCGGTCAAATGGATCTGCAAGCGGATCGGCTTGTCGTTGCCCGACCTCCTCGATCCCCGGATCATGGCCTTGCAGAAGAAGGTCTATGGCGATCGCGGGAAAGAGACGAGGGAAGCGGTTCCCATCCCTCTGATCTTGGTGGCGGCGCTCGAGCGGTTCGTGTGCGCTCGTTTTAAGTCGAGCCAATTCCCCATGGCGTTCTTCGCATGGTGGGTTCTCGTGATGATCTACTCGTCCCTCAGGTTCGACGACGCGCTCCACGTCGTGCCCGAGGCGCTCGCCCTGAAGGACGAGGCTCTCTATGGGGTGGTTTGGCAGACTAAGGTCGAGCGACAAAAGAACTTTGGCGGGTTTTTGCTTTGGTCAGTTATAACTCGAGATATACTGGACTTGTTAAGTCGAGTTATCTCGGACTTATAAGTGGAGTTTTGGTGGACTTATAAGTCGGACTTATAAGTGACTTATAACTCCGAAATTGGGGATTTAGCGAGCACACATTTCGGGGTTTAGCGAGCACCATTTTGCGATCATGAGGGGTGCAAAAACTCGTCACGAGAAGATCATTTTGAGGTATATAGGCGGTCAGAAAATGGGTTTGGTGAGCACCATTTTGGGATCATGAGGGTCGCAAAAACTCGTCACGAGAAAACCATTTTGAGGTATATAGGTGGTCAGAAAATGCGTTTCGCGAGCACCATTTTGCGATCATGAGGGGTGCAAAAATTCATCACGAGCAAAGCATTTTGAGGTACTGCGGCGGTCCAAAAAATCATGTAGAGGTGAAAAAAACAGTGTTCAGAATGCCAAAATCTGCCAGCATTCAAATTATATTGTATGACAAACGGCCACGCAGGGAAAGCCTGTAACAGATTATGTACAGGGTTGAACATGCATTTAGGGCTGGGG